GCTCACCTCTCGATCCTGTCACGGCTCTCTGCTGTGACAGGGGGAGGGGCTGGATTCCCCTCTCCCCGCTCCGATCTGCCAGTGCTGACTGGCGGAATGGACGGGGGAGGAGGCGGTTATAGCTGGCTCTGCCTCTAGATAGGCAGAGCCAGCTGTCACTCACGCAGCTGGGCGGATCCCGTCGTCTAAGTCAGGATCCGCTCCGGCTGTGGCGTCTCAGTATACCGCGAGCTGTAGCTCGCGGTATACTGAGCTTAGGGTAACGTGAGGACGCTAGTTTTTGTGCTCCCGTTACCCTAAGGAGAACTATGGAGAAAAACACTGACCCCATAGTTCTCCTTTAAACCTAGTTAAAGCAGTTTTTTTTTTTTAAACCTCTTGCCTATATCTACTGCTTGCTAGCAGTAGATATAGGACAAAAAAATGGAGGGTTTAGAACCCCTTTAAGCACCATTTTTTGTGAACTGACCATTTCCCTGTGTTTCAACAGAAGCTCCTGTGGTTAATCTGTAAGAAAAGCTAAACATCAGGTGTTTGTAGCTCCATGGAATCTGGTCAGGTGACATTTGTGTAAGCTGCAGAACAGTTTTATACAACTTGTTTTCACCAACAGGGGACTCCTCCCTTTCTATATGCACATTTTCCATTTGAAACACATTTTAAGTTCATCTATAGCCAACATGCTGGGGTCAGTTTGGGTGCAAACCAACAAGCCTTCCTATTTGTTTTTGAATTGTGGCAAGCAGCCAGGGCAGCTATAGGAAAGCCACATCACTTACAAGGAGAACATATGAACTTAAACGATATAGTGTTATTGGTAGGAATTTAAACCAGGAACCCAGCAACATGCTGCTCCTAAAAGACAGAGTTGCCATATCTACATTTCCTGTTTTAGGTGTATTGCAAGTGCAGTAGGTTATAAAAAGTCTTGCCTGCCGCATCTTTAATGCGGTTCCCAGCAAAACGCATTACATAGAGTTCACTGTTATTTCACCTACAATGTGCAACAAACCTCACTTAAACATTCTGATTTGATTGGGCTTAAGCCCTCATTTTATTGTTGACATTTTTCCTGTGTCACTGGGTTGGCAACACAAGCAGTTCAGTGTGCCTTGTTTTTCATTCTTTGTCGGTAGAAATACCTTAACGTGGACCTTTACCCATATCTTTAAAATAACAACAAACACACCTTTAGAAATGTTTAGTAATGACAATCTACAAGCACATACTTCTAGAGAATTGCCGGCTTTGTATTCTTTGCATACCTTATTTCTCTTTTCTTCCCAAGTCTTCTGGCAGTGGCCATGTTTACTAAGGGCAGATTACTAGATCTCCTTTTACTTCCTGGATTTCTGGCATATGTGACTAGACATGTGACTAGGACATGTGATCATGCACATCATCTCAGGGGAGAGATCTCGTGAGATTACAGATGAGATTTCCCAGCAATGCTCTGCTGATGACAAAGCATCCCAGTGTGCATTGAGTTGGCAAACTGAGATGTCTATGTTATTATTAATCATCATACATAGAGGGATGGATTGGTAGAATTTGATTTCTGAGTGTAAAGGTCCGCTTTAATGATCATAATGTTATGTCACACAAACCAGCAATAAGTCAGTGCTGCTGATCCATAAGTGTATTTCTAGCTTTACAAAGGCTGATGATGCCAGGCACACAGGTACAGCATCTCACAGAAGTGAGTACACCCCTCACATTTTTGTAAATATTTTATTATACCATTTCATGTGACGACACAAAAGAAATGACACTTTGCTACAATGTAAAGTAGTGAGTGTACAGTTGTATATCAGTGTACATTTGCTGTCCCCTCAAAATAACTCAACACGCAGCCAATAATGTCTAAACCGCTGGCAACAAAGTTGGTCTCTTGTGCTGTTTGAAAGTAGCATGGTATAAAAAGAAGTTACATGTTCATGTGTTAGTACAAAATCCTTCCTGTGGAAAGGGATAATAGAAGGAAACATAACACGTTCCACCACCCATTAATAAAGCAACCCCAACTCATGCATTTAATAGCTGTATATGTTATTATACTATATATTATACCTATACATTATTTTCATATTTTATTGGTGTCATAGGCTCACTTGTATGAAAAGGCCTGTATTTAGGTAGATATGTCTAAACATATACTTACAGCAGCCAGATTTTCTGCTTGTTTTGGTAAGCTGCTTGTCTCCATGAGATAGATTTCAGCCTGCTTCCAGAAACATGTTCCAAATTGGCCAAGGAGAAGATTAAAAGCAGATTAGAAGTATGCGAGTGCCAAAACCTATTTGAGCTTTTAAGTGCTCTGTGATTTATCATTTTCATTTTATCTTTAAGTATCTGCATAGGGTGCCGCTAGCAAACTCAGTCTGCTTTGTTCAGGTTGGACTGTTTTCCCTGATTTTTGTTTAATGCTAAATTCTCTATTATGTATTTTTTAAGGCACATTTATATGCATTGTATTGTGTACTCCTTCCTTGTGTTTTTAATTTCTTACTGTAAGAAATGCTGTGCATGATGTAGGAATATGTTTGCTGGTTTTACATCCAGAAGATTGTATATTATTGGGCCCCATAGTATATATATCTATACAGCTCACAACTCATCATTTTGTTGAAAGAACTTTCGGCCTAATGAGCTTACAATCTGGTATGAATGCATGTCAATAACTAGAACCCGGGATTGGGATTTCATGTTTCATACATGAAAGATATTTACAAGATTGCTGAAAACAAAATCTGTAAAGCTGTTTTTCTGTCCCTATGTCCATCTGTCTATTCTTCTGTTGGTCTCTCTGTTGGGGCATCTGTTCAAGGCTGTAACAGCTATACGATTCTAGACAAGTGCCACAAACCTCAGTAGTGTCAGGGGTTCTGAATATGGCAACTACATGTAAATAACTGTCACTGAGTGTACATATACTTAAAAAACCTAAGGGATATATTCTTAAAAGAAGTTAACGTAACTGTCACCGAACATTCACCGATGGTGAAGCAAACACTGACATATAAAACACTTGCACTAAGAAGATTGACCAGCTTTATAAATATTCACTCAACTGTCCAATATTGTTAATATTTTATAATTACCAGATACCAATAAAAAATGCTTTTGAGATAAAGCTTGGGGAGGGGGGATAGGAGGCCCTCTAATTTTTTTTACTGGAGGGCCCAGATATCATAGTATCTGTCTACCAGGAATTAAAAGAGAAATTCTGTCTCTAGTACTAGGAAAATAAGCTTTAAAAAGGACCTGAACTGCAAAAGCTATGTCTAAAAAAAGCTAGTTGAAGGCAAAAGACATTGCCCATGGTCTTCCTGCAGCTGTTCTTTTCTCTAAGCCTAACATGCCATGTCTGACCTCAGGGGCAGGGCCCTCCTTACCATCTTGTCTTCAATTGTATTGTGATTATAATGTCTTTCTTATATTGTAAAGCGATGCGCAAACTGTTGGCGCTATATAAATCCTGTATAATAATAATAATGTCTGCACTGTGTCTAGAGGCAGCTATCTTGGTAAAGGCTTTGCCTCTTAATGTCAGAGCTGCAAAACAACCCCCCATTGAGAACATTGAGCAGCACAGTGGTCACATCACCAAATCTCACTACAAATCTCTT